ATATACTGAATCACAAAACCAATAAAATACATAAGAGAAGGACGTGATAAAGCTTGTTGTTAAAGTTACCATTCAATTAGGACAAACCCCAAACTTTTTCCGAGGGTTAGTCTTCGTACCTGATGTCCAAACTCGAGAAGGATGCACACACCCACAAGGGTTTATACCATCAAATATCTTTTGTGTCTTTGAAATGCGTGAGCTTGAGTTGGAGATCATCAATTTAATAGAAGAATGTGAAATCATAGAAGAAGAAGTCAAACATTCATGAAGAAGCCCTAAATCGATTTATAATTTATAAATGAAGAATATATCATTAATGTCATGTCATTAATTATTATGTCATGTTACCAATAATTAGGTCAAGTAATCATTTAACAAGTAAGAGCATGTTACCGGTATGTAACATTTGAACAAAATGTATAGTTTGTTGGTATTTTTTGTACAAAGACCTTAGTTGGATGATGTTTTTTAAACATACCAAACTTGGATGATGCTTTTTGAACAATTTTGAAACACAGTTACCCTCATGAGTCATTTTCCCTTGTTTTTTTTCCCTTAATTGATTTTTATCGGTAAATGTCGGATACCATAAGGTAACATTTGAACAAAATATGTAGTTCGTTGTTTTTTTTTGTACAAATACCTTACTTGGATGATTTTTTATGAACATACCAAACTTGAATGATGTTTTTTGAATGATTTTGAAACATAGTTACCCTTATAAGTCATTTTTCCTTTTTTTAATCAAGGATCGATTGAGTGTCTAATCAAAGTCAGGGTAATTTCATTTGCAATCTCTATTTCACTACTCTAAGTTAAACCGAAAAATGTAAGGTTACCCGATATGATAGCTTTTCACACGTGAACATCGACGTGACATAGTGTTTCTACGTGTGAACACCCCCTAACCAGGTGTAAGTGTTGTGGCTTGGTGTGTTTTACCGACAAAGACGAGGCTTTTGATTGGCCGGTCAAAATGCGAAAAGATTAAGGGAAACAACAAACCACTGATACCATATCTTCAACCAGACTAGAACCAAGACACCTACAAATTTTCGGACAAAGAAGAAGAAGAAGAAGAAAAAGAAAAGGAAAAAAAAAAGAGGCGTGTGTGTATTTGTGATGGAAAGAAAGAAAACTGGGAAATAAGGCACAATCGTACATAATCAAAAGGTTGGGCTTAGTCAAATTTAAGTGGGTTAGACATATTTCTATTGGGCTAATTTTTTTTAGGGTTTAGGTCATTTTTGGTCACTTAACTTTTGGTTTTGTGCTCATTTGGTCACTTAACTATTTTTAAGTTTTAAAAGGTTATCAAACTTTTCATTTTGTGCTCATTTAGTCACTTAACTTTTGGTTTGGTCACATTTAGTCACCTAACTTTTAGATGTGTACTCATTTAGTCACCTAACTTTTAAAATTGTACTCATCTAGTCACTAAACTTTTAAATTTTTTTAAAAGTTTAGTGACTAAATGAGCACAATTTTAAAAGTTTGGTGACTAAATGTGACCAAAACAAAAGTTAAGTGACTAAATGAGCACAAAGCCAAAAATTTGATGACCTTTTAAAACTTAGAAAGAGTTAAGTGACCAAATGAGCACAAAACCAAAAGTTAAGCGACTAAAAATGACCTAAACCCTTTTTTTTATGTAGTAAGCTTGATTTAATTGGCCTAAGCAATTTTGGACTCCTACATACCCGGGTTTAAAAAAATGATGTTTAAACTTTATTTCTTGGTTGTTATTGGTTTTAGTAACATGGAGTAATTTCTTTTGGGTTTAGTTGACTTGGGTTAAATGATAATTTTAATGTTTTTGGGTTTGAAAATTAAGCTTTTTTATTTAATATAATAAAAATAAAATTAAATAAATAAGTATTGATGATGTGGAATGCTGACAATTTTCAAAGGTTTGTAATGTGGTAGTAGAGATGTGGTATTATATTTCTAGAATATATGTAATGACCATACCCTTTAGCCTAAAAGTTTCAAATTGATTTATTATTATTATTATTATTATTATTATTATTATGTATTTTTGCATTGATTTTTTTCTTCATCTTAACCTCTATTTTAGAGTTTCGATCATAGCCATTGGTCTATAATATATTTGTCGCTTTGTATTTGGCTAGTATGTTATCCTTTTCTACGAGCATTTATGAATTATGAGGAAGAGCTTAAAAATTAAGGTGAAACTATCTTTTTTTTTATTCGATCAAACAGGAAAAATGATATTCCTAATCATTTGAGATTTGACTATATTTTCTTATAAGACTGTAGGGTGTAAAGCGGGAAATATAGATGTTGGTCGGAATAGCATCCATGAACACCACAAGTGTGAGATAGGTCTAATCATCAATCGCCATCAAGTATATAAATCCAAATTTTTTATTGAATACACCAACTCTTATGAATTTATCTATCATCAAAAGTCAAAACATTGTACTTTTGTTGCATAGTAATCACAACGCCTACAATTATGCATTAAAAAATGTGAAAGTTACACTTAAAAGGGATTGTAAAGTTAGACTCTTGATGAAATGTTAAAAAAAAATGTTTTCAAGCTATGTAATAATAACATTATATTCAATCTTGTATCTTGAAATAAAACTTGTTATTAATTATTGTTGTTTTGTCATCACAAGGACCAAAATTGATTAAATGCAAGTTGGTGCAATGAAGTGTAACAATTAAGACTTAAAGGGAAAAGATGGTGGGGCCATGGCATTACTTGGTGATTGAAGGTTGAAAGAGACTAATCTTCAAAGATAAGGGACCTTCATGGAAATGTGGAGTAAGGTCATGTACATAATAGTATAATACTTGTATTTTGGAATGGGAAGTATATTAGGAGAAGAACATATTCATTTTGGATGATGATGGTTCTAGTCAAATTCAAACCACTATAACATCCAAATACGTTCTATAATATAAATTTCCCTTTTGTCTTTTGTCGTTGGCATTGATGCACATATCTATTTTGGTATCAAGTTCCAAGTATGAATATGATGTAGGGACAGATCAAATATGTTCAAAAGCCGAGTCAAAACAGATACGGAAAGAACAAGTAACTTATTATTGGTACGTGTAACATCAACTTCACATACAAACATTTTTTTTTTTAATCTTTATTCATTCAAACTTTCGACCCATTTTCTCAACAACTTTTAATGAATAAAACATATCTTAAAACTAGGTGTGTTATTTGGCTACTAGAGTTGGAAGGCATAAAATGTATTAATATATAATACAAAAGCTTATTCAAGCACTAAACTCTAATCACCCATCAAAACTACAATTACACATATAATCAACCATCACAAAACCCCTAAATCTTTTTTCTTTTCTTTTTTTTTTTAATTATTTTGTTAAATAAACATAAAACGGTAAAACAAAATTACTTGGAAGGGCTTTCATTGTTCAACAACTTCACTTTCTCCTCCGAACTCTCCTCTTCATCACTGCTACCCACCATCTTCTTCTCCTCGGTTTCTCCGCCGGCGTTTTGTGATCCGGTCATCCTTGCCAGAATCACAAACGACATCCCTCCAAGCACGTTATTCACCAATCTCAACCCAACCACAGAAGTCTTGAACAACAATGGTGGCATCCCTTTTGCTAAAACGAACTCAATCCCATTCAGAGTTTGGTACCTGAAATTGCTGCTTAAACCCATATGAATCGCCCATGTCATGGCGTTTAAAACAGTTGGCGGAGCTTTGTTTGGTGACTCGAAGGTGGGATCCATCTTCTTCCTCATCTGGATTAGTCCGTTTGACAGAGCAGTTCCGACTAAACCAGCTGCAAAACCCACGGCGGCGAACACTGTTCCTTTGTAAACGAAAGTTCCTAACCTGTTGATAAGGCTGTAGGCGCCGGGCTCGAACATGTGGCTTGTTGGTGAATTGGAGAAGATGAAAGGGAGAGTTGCGGATGTAGATGCCATAGTCGGTGCTAGAAGATACATCAAGGTGAAATTCATGATAGATCCGACGACAAGAGTGGAGAAGACGAAATCAAGCTCGTTTAGGCCAAAATTTGGACGGGATGCCATGTCGCCGAGAACGCATGCACTCACACCAACAACTTCCTCCATTAAAACCTTGAAAGGAAATTGGGGATCAGCAGCAACTCTTGATCTCCATCCACTAAGAAAAGCCCCGATTGGGCCGAAACCGTCGAAGGAAGAAGAGTCGTCGGATTTTCCACCTCCACTCCGATCGCCACTGCCACCGTCACCTCCTCCACCACCACTTCCATGGCCGACACCAGAACCGCCGCCACCGCCGCCAGCACATGGAATAGGTTGTCTTTTAGATAGTAAATCAAGGTTGATCGGTTTTAATCGGAGGGAGGAAGAGGTAAGATCTTGAGAGAAATTGCAGACAAATTTTTTACCGGTTAGATTCGGTAACTTGAGGTTAGGTATATGCCCAGCAGGATTCAAATGACGATCGTTTCCGACATGAGAGCAATGAAGCTGAGCAAAAGAAGCCATATTTCGTTTCGAAAAGAACGACTGTTGATCGCTTCTCCTCTACGCGAAAATGAAGCTGAAAATCAAAACACGACATAAATACACAATAAAAATCTACAGATCTAACAAAGATATTAGAAAACTTCTTAAATCAATGAATAGAAACTAAAATGCAGAGGGACATAGTTTATAACGATCTTCACAAATATATACGATATATCAAAGAATGAATGAATCACCACAAGAAGAATTAAACAACTGATAAAATCCCTGATTAGGATATATATACGTATAGAGATACAAATTCAGGTATCGAAAAGATATGAAATTATATTTTTGTGATCATTAGAAGGAGAAGGAAAGGCAAATAACCTTTGAATGTAGAATGGATTGTAGCGTTTGAAGAGATGATGAGCGGTATGATCTATTGCCGGCGGCGACAGAAGACGGTGAATCAAGAGAGAAAATAGAAGAAGTAAATGTGGAAATGGGTTTTTATATGAGAAAACAAAGGAAACTAAAAACCCTAAAAAATGAGAGAGAGAAAGAGTGGGGGGTTTGGTGAGCAGGGAGAAGAGAGACGGAATCGGAAGATCTGTGCATTGTCTAACTGACACGTAAACCCACTTGACTAACAAGAGGTGTTAAACTAACAACTAATTAAGAGGTTCTGGGTTCAATCCCCGAGAAAATATAATTATTTGCCGTTCAAAAAAAAAGAAAAACTATCACCCTATTTAATGTGTTATTAGCACTCCTTGTTTGCTTAATTTTATTTTTAAGCAATATTCACTCAAATAATTACAATCAGAAAGTCTTCGTCACATTATCAAAACAAAATATATTTAATAGATGTTGTTATATGTAGTTATGTACTTTTTGTATTCACCAACTTACATAGAGGTACACAAATCAGTTAGAAGTATGTATAAAATTAACCTATTTGATTAGGAAAAATAACAAATAATATAGATATTTTTTATGTTTAATCTTCTTTTCATTATATAGTATAGTGACCTACATTTTTTTATTTCATTCTATCATTTGTTAGTTTGTAAAGAACCTAAGATAAAATTTTATAAGGAATGTGCATTAAGAACGAGAAAACGAGAGAATTTTGAAATTGCTTAAACATGAAAACATTTTAAGCAATTCCACAAGAGAGTGAGGTTTTAACAAAATATAGTGACAAGGCGGAGCTATGAGAGGGCCTTTGCCTATAGAGTTTCAAAGTTGTAATTTTGTTTCTTTGGGCTAGTTTGGTTATATATTTGGCCCCTCTACTTTTAGTTATCAAAAAGAATATGTTAATCCATCCATATAAATCTCTTTTTTTTATATTTCAAAAATAATATGATGTCTTCTTCTTTGACATATTTCTTTTTCTTATTTCATAACTCTTCCCTCCAGCAATATGGTTCACTGCTTTTTAAGAGGATTTCAATTGTAAAAACTTTATAGATGTCCTTTTAAATTAGGTCGGCGTTTTATATGTGCCTAAAGAGATAATTGTCCATCCATTTCTAAATCGAGAAATAATTTTCGTTGTCTGAAATTTAAAGGAATCAACACGTAGTTTAATTACATAGGTTGGCCCACCCATGGTTGCAAGGTCTATTGGCATACTATATTCTCTTTTGAAAGGAGTTAAAAAAAAGTATTTAAAGGATGAAGATGAGCCTATGATCAAGCCGAGTTGGTTTCGTATCTCATGTTATAGTACGGGTTAGGGTAATGTGATAATATAGTTAATTCTTGATGGTATGTAACATGTTATTGAAAGTGAAAGAATGGTGGTTTGTTACCATTAAGCTGTTTTAAATTGGTAATGAAAACATTTAGGAATTTCATTGTATAATACTGATTGGTTAATGAAAGCTGCCATGATGGAGAATTAGGAAATTTTGTGATGATAATAAGTCAAGGGAATGATTTAATATTGTTGTTGTAAATTTCATGATGCACCTTTTTTATTTTATAAAAATGGCATGTGTATTGTAAAGGTTAGGAATAGTCTAAACATGTTATGGTAATGTTAATACTACAGTATATCATATCATATAAACAACTAGTAATAAACACCAAATTTGTATATGCTTTCATATGAAACAAACACTTATAGCATTCTCATATAGGCTTTTTAAATACAAACACTAAATTTGTACATGCTTTCATATGAAACAAACACTTATACCATGTCCTATTACACATTCAAACTACCACCAAATAATTGTCTAAAGTTTAACCTAACAAATCATAAACTAGATGTCATCAAAATGCGACCAAAATTTTCAAACATGTCTAAAATCCTAGCTAAAAATATCAAAATACAACCAAAGTGTGCAAATAACATATTACTAATACCATCAAGTCAACTAGAAAATTGCATCACTTCCTAACAAATCAATTCTTAGCTTGAGTCTCACATTGATATGTGCATGTTTTTGAATTATGAGTTTTGTTCTTCAATTTTGCACAAGCCACGCTGGCATTCCTCCTAGTTAGTTTTTGAATTTGACAGACATCACCATGAGTTCCTTGTTTATGATTTCCATGTCTGACTTGTTTCTTGTCTTTGATTCAACCTTACATCCTCAATATGTTTCTTCTTATTTGGTCACCTAACTTGCTTATGATGTAGGGAAACAGTTATTGTTGTTGGACATAAACTTCTTTTCCATATAGAACTTATTTTCATTAGGTCTACCTAAAATGCATAAGTTTTTTTATGTCCCAAATTATAAACTTGTGGAGCCATTTTCAAAGACCCCATATTTCTTATGTATTATTACTTTTTTTCATTAAGTGTTGCTATGGAATGCTTAAAAGGAAATTGTTTTCATCTCCTACAAATAAGTGTTATTTGTGATATCACCAACACATTAATCATACCATATGACCTCACCCTTAGATGCCACATTTCATATATATATATATATATATATATATATATATATATATATATATATA